CCCCCATCTACTACCGATCCCACTACACCGTCTAGCCGGGAAGAGACCAGCAGTAACTGTTAATTAGCACATTGGTCACGATAGAGAGATGTCGAAAAGAAATCAACCGACGGGCGACGATACTCTTCGAGCAGGCGAGCACCAACCAACCCCCCACGGTAGACACCGGGATTCGACTCTGTTTAGTTTTAGTAAGAGTTTTACGGCACTTGCAACACAATAAGGTCATATAAGTGCCGAAGATTGGAGGTGTTACAACAGAGTAACCAACACAAAAAAGGAAGAGGGGAGAGTAGGACGATAGTTTTTTATAGGAAAAAAGAAGCAAACCACACCAGAGCACCCGCCAACCACCCACCCCACCAGCGTCTAGCTGAGAAGAGACCAGCAGTAACACGTAATTAGCAAAATGTCATGATAGAGAGATGTCGAAAAAAAATCAACCCACAGGCGACGGCACTCCTCGAGCAGGCGAACACCCACTAACCTCCCACTGCAGACACCAGGATTAAGACTCTGAGAACGGAGCGGGGGATAATTGCTTGCTAGGGCGCAGTACTTCAGCTTGACTATAGAGTATCTAGAGAGGTTGGAGAGGAAGAGGAGGAGAGAAAATGAGGCAAAGGAGCCAATTGGCTAGGCAAACAACAATCCTGAAACGTTCGGACCCCGTGGAAACGCGCGCTGGGGGGGGGGGGGTACACATTAGTTACGGAAAATAATAAAGAAAATGGCCACATTACAAGGAGAGTGGCCACATTACAAAGAGAGTGGCCACATCACAAAGAGAGACAGACGATTTTTTTAAAATCACCAATAACAGTAACAATAGTGCACAGACATTACTAAGTGTACTTTGAAGATGAAGAACGTCATCAAGAGAAATAGAACAAATTATTCATCGTGTATCATAATAGTTTGTAAATACAACCATATCTGCTGGGAGTATATAATATAAATATTATGATATTGATTGTGGGTCTATAATATGTGATGCAGCGTGGTGGAATCAGGCTCTCGTCAATTTTTGGACATGTATAGTTATTGGTATCATTTTAAAGCTTGTTCACTTGTCTTTATTTGGATGAGGAAAAAAATGTCTATTTACCTTGAATACAAGTGGAGTTATTTGCGAATGAAGGAGGTGGGGGTCACCTATTTTCAGAAGAAAAATTTGTGAGAAAATGGCCGCCAAAGATTGGTTACTTCCTTAGCTTAAGAGACCGTGGTAACTGAAAATTTCCATTCTGTGAGCCTTTAATCAACGTTTTTCAGAAAAATCCACACAGAAATAAGTTCTTTAATGGGCATGAAAAGGTGTGGGGCAAAAAAGAAAAAACGTGATAAAAATTCACAAACCTGCAGAAAAATGCCAAGTTTCTTCACTTTGATAATTTTGACGAGAGCCTGATTCCACCACGCTGCCTCACATATGTGAGTGCCTGTATTCTGTACTCAACGTTTTAATAAGAGACTAAAACACTTAAAGGACGAGTGTTATGAAGGCACTATTATTCCTTGTAATAATATTTGAAAATATCAGTCTTTTAGGTGATCACAGGACACTCAAGACAGAAAACATACGACGCTTTGGGGGACATAACAATTATAATGAGTAAAAGTTAATCTTAATCTCATTCATGACTTCAGTGAGTTACGACAGAACAATTATAATGAGTAAAAGTTAATCTTACTCTTACTGTATGACTTCAGTGAGTTACGGTCTAACATTGTTCTGGTTGTAACTTGAGAGAGCCAAAAGCTTAGTTTCTGTAAGAGTTTTATGGCATTTGCAACACAATAAGGTCATATATATATAAGGGCCGAAGAACAGAAGTGCACCCACCAACCACCCTCCAAAAGCTGTCGCAAGTCTTGTAACATAATCATGTACAAGATTAATTTTTAAAAATCTTAGTTCATAGAATCAAACAGCCGTCCAATTAACCTGCACTAGATCTACATGACAACACCATGCCCATGAGACAACTTTTACACATTTAATTTATTCAAGCCAACAGCTGTGGCACTGTAGTAGAAGAAGAATCGTGGGGAGGCGCCATTTCAA